GGTTAAATTAATGCCAGACATGCACATCACACATAATGCTCTCTACTACTACTGCAAGACGAAACATATCATTCCTACGACCTATTTGAAGACACAGAAACACAAACACAAAAACACTGCGCATCTGTCGCGTAACCCTAGCTTGCGTAAAAGCCTCACGCCAAAGCATCATCTGCCCTTCTTTTCCCTTTTTTCCCCTTCTCAATACAGGCACCACCGAGGTTTTCCCGTTTGCATCCCAACACACATACCCTCCTCAGCCTTGGATGCGAGCATGTCCGATTCGTTTCTTGAACGAAGGTATAGTTCCCGCCCTCCGGCGACCCGCGGACTACGTCGTTCAAAGGATATGCTAACAACAAGCAAACTAGTTGGCCTACTGTTTACCCGCCCGTCGGCTTTTGATACTTCGGGCAATTTCAATATCCTCTCCCGCCGTCGTACGGTTGATTAGCTGGCAGACGGGTAAGTAACTAGTTGAACACCGATTTATTGCCTTTATGCATATAGATATCAGGTTTTTTTTTTGCCGGGCAATTTAAGCGGGAACGCTGTGCAGAATGTGCCGTTGTATATGTACACGCGTACGTACCCCTTAGTCCCCTTGGTCGTCTGGACACACTCTGCCTTGTTCCCCGCGCTGCTAATGCCTGTCAATTTTCGACTCCTACCTGGCATAAAGTCAAGTAAATTGGTTTGAATAGCTTATTGCCTGGCCTGCCGATGTCGGGCTCAAGACGTATGGCTACAGAGACGGGACATGTTTCGATTCATGTTTCACGAAGGATCGTCTTTGCCGCCCTGCTGAAATTAAAGAGATAGCTAATCAACTAACTAGCTCGGTAGTAGATAAGAAGGAAAAGGCGTTTAACTCATGACCATTATATCTAGCGGTAGTATATTCCCTTGTGTATAAATGTCATCCCTGTATGTGTATCCATCCATCGTCTTATTCGTCATGACTCGTGCATCCGTCCAGCTGGAAGGGACAGATAGAAAGGAAGAAAAGAAGTAAGAAAGATATCAACAAGAAAAAAAATTAGATCGAGAAAATATTTCATATCGTTTATCTTTTTACCGGAGACCATCGGTGCCTACCTCGTCAATGAGAAGGACGTATCCGCCGGGCAAAAACCCTTTCTGGCCAGCATAGCATCCCCAAAGCCAATCGTCATTGATATTTTCAGCTTCCGTGATCTCCGCGCCCCGGGGAAACATTATCTCGTCATTATTGTCAGGTTCAGGGTGATGTGACCATTTGGCGATAAGGCGTAGGCCGATGCCACCTGATGGAGGGAAGCGGGTGGTGCTAAGCGGGAAGGGGGACGAAGAGGAGCTGTCCGACGGACTCTCGGGACCAGAAGAGAGATGTTGTCTGGCTCGGTTAAGTCTGCGTCGTTGCCTGAAGTTGCTGTCACTTGAGTCGGTGGGTTCGGTCCATGTCCAGCGGCCGGAGTCTTGTCGTTGGAGGGCAATTCGGCTTGGTGTTCCGTTGACTTCGGAGACGGGACTGGTGGGAGTGTTGCTGTTATTGCTGGTATCTCTCCTGGCGCCGGAAGAGGGGGTTGGGATGTGTTCGTCCTTCCATGCGTGTCCGCCCACAAGGCCCTGGACGACGACTCTCATCTGTCCTACTCGGTGGTCCTCAAAGCCAACAATTATCATGCGATGGCCCTGTAGGCACCGTCGCCAGCCATTTCGGCCGTTTTCCTTGCTGATTTTGCCCGATGCCCCTAACTTCAGATAGCAATTCGTGCACATATCGTAGTCACCCTCGTTACACTGGATGCAATGGAATCGTGTGGTTGAAGGAGGGATAGGGTATGTACAGACATTGCATTGCGTAGAGAATGTGAGGGGTCTGTATTCGGCGGCTTCCGTTGGAGACGGAGGCGAGGCTGTGGTTCGTGGAGACATTTGTGCATCTGTCTTTGGCTTCACCTTGACACGGGATATCGGCAAGAGAGGATGCGTGCAGCATTTGTCCTGGTTAACGCACTTGTTACAGAATCCCCATTCACCGTCATTGCATTCTCTGCATTTCCAGAAACATTCATCGGCAAACCGCTTGCACATATCACAGAACATGCCCATCTGTACTCGTCTGGAAAGCAGCACATGAGCAGACCGTGGGCTCTGGGAAGATGACGATGATTGTTCTACTCGTTCCTCCGGTGGCCGTAAGTACCTACGCCAGGTCAGCTTGTGAGGCGGTTTTTGTTCGTTCAACGGTTTGTTCAAAGATGCCATCTTCTTCTCAAAGAAGTATTGCGCCGCGTGACCAAATCCAAACCAATGCAGACATCCGCGGCCGAGACGATAGCAACGAGCACATAGACAATAATTGCCCGACTTGCAAAGCTTGCAAACCTTGTGCAGTTCATATTGTATATTGTTCTTCCCGCACCGTTCACATGATATTGAAGGCTCGGGGGGCATCTGAGCAGGCGACAGAGTAGACGGTAGAATAACAGGATTTGAGACTCGTCTAATTGGCCCCGGCGGCGGAGAGGTGGTTACCGGTGTGTTGACAGCAGCCGTAGCGGTGGCTGGAGTAGATGGCTGTGACTGGGAAGCCTGACGCCTGTTCGAAGTATGGAGCCCAGTAATTTCACCGACGACGGACGTTGCAGCAGGAGGAGGAGGCTCAGCAGCGGTGTTTCCTCCGTTTGGATTGATAGCAGCAGGGCTCCGCCGGCGCTGCCGCTCTCCAGGAGACGAAGGACGTCTTGAACGGTTGACCCGGAGTGGTAAAATTGTCTGGTTCCGTAGTGATGTCGGCGGAAGGGAGCCATTTGAGGCTCGTCTGCGGGACGGCCCAGTCCCAGGACCACTTCCCGCAACAGTGCCGGTGCCGGAACCTGCAGTAGAGCCACCGCTAGCTGTGTGGGCCGCAGGCTGGGCTAGTGCCTCGGAAGAGAGGGAGAAGCCCGTGGGCAGAGTTGGCGATGTACGCCGTCTCCGAGTGCCCGTGCCTTGATCAGAAGCACTTCGGCGGTGGTTTGCAGCATTATGAGCGGTGGTAGGCTCTAGAAGACGAGGTCTAGAGGCCGGTGGAGCCCGTCTGGTAGGCTCTCTAGCCCGAGGCGTAGAGGTTGAAGCACTGGGAGACCGCTCCTGTTGCTGTTGCTGAGACTGCTGAGGCTGCTGCTGTCTATCCTGTGATACCGGCCGTGGCTGAGCTGGCGACTGGCTCTCTCTTCGCCTTGATGTGTGGGTGGGAGAGGGAACTCGATGCCGCCGCCTGAAGGCCTGCGCAATGCGTTCCGTCAACTCGTCTTCCTGCGTAGGTGTCAGAGTATGTAAGTCGATGCCATCCAGCAGCCCTTCCTCTGCAATTTGTCGTAGGATCTCGTCCTCGATGGCTGATTCACCCGTTGACCCAATGAGTGACCGTAGGCTGGACTGATGCTCAACCCTTCTCGATTCCGGGCTCATGTCTCGAGGATTGCGCATGGCCGGTGAGGCATTCATTCGCCTTTCCGCCCGTCGTCTCCGCCTCGCATCTTCCACCCGCTGCTCCCTCGCCTGTGCACCCGGACTGCGCTCCGATCTTCCTCGTGGGCGCGGTGCCAGCGGACTACGATGGCGACGCCGGCTGCTGCCGCTTCCAATACCGCTGGCTCCCTGAACATCCCGCAGACTCATATCTCTGACCTCCGCTAGGAGCCTCTCATCCTCATCGTCACTTGCAGACCGCACTATCTGCTCGACTTCAGGCAGCACAGAATCCCCATGTTTGTACTCCGATGCGATCTCCTCCTTCTCCTCAGCCGACTTTGCTTGATCCGGGTTTGACTGGAGGAAGAGATCGAGTAAGGTGGCCACTTTCGCATCGTGTCTTGTGTCTCGAACAGATGCCCGACAGGACGGACATGTAAACCGCGGTCTGTTGCTATCCGTGGGATTCGACGCCTGCCATGAGAACCAGCTTTTCAAACACGATCCGCAAAATGTATGTAGGCAGTCGAGCAAGGTCAGCGGCTGGTAGAGAATCTCGGTGCATATCTATCTTGCGGTCAGAACAGTCGCAACACCACAGCAGTAGTGAAAAAAACAACACTCACAGAGCAAGTCAGCTCTTTTCCCAAGTCTACCAGCGCTGAGCCGCCCTCCTTGGGGTTTTCCATCCTCCCAGAGAGCGGTTGTGGTGTGGTGTATGTAGTTGTATATAAACAAGCGGACCGCAGCTCCAGTCCCCGTATGTGCGTCTACCGCCGGTCAAAGTCGAGCATGGCTTCTCGCTCGAGACGCCAGCTACCGTAAAAGAGGAGATACGAAAGCTGAAGTAATACCGAGCGTCCTCGCTAGCACTGGCATGTCATAGTGGTGGTGTCGTTGGTGTTGCTGCTGTCGGTTGTCGCCGGCAGGTGTTGAAGAATCCCAAGATGTTTCTTCCTTCGCCTGAGACAAAAATATGTCACACCCCCACACTCAAGACACGCAAAACAAGCGGCTTCGTGACCTTTTTTCTTGTTTTTCTCCCATTTTCCCTTGACTAGAGGCATTCGCGATGCAGAATGGACAGTCTGGCCGGCTTGACGGTCTCTGACCGGGTTTATTGTGGTGCGTTGTGAGAGAGTTCTACGCTGTTGCTGAGGATGCTATGGTGAGCGAGGCCCAGTTGGAAGGACTTTTATATCATCATACGATGGACATTGCTTCTTGTGGACCGGATAAAGAGAGGAAATCCTAGCTACAGCCTGTTAAACTGCGTCTCTGGCTTTGCGAAGGCGCTCGCGGGTAAATGCTAGCCGTCTGATTGTACGGGAGACTACACAAGACGACCGCAACTGTTGAGAATGGATATACCACGAGATCACGGAGGTAATGATGGTTAAAGAGGGACAAAGATAACTGGTGACAGAGTGCCTTCATGTCATTATGATGGCCAACGCATGCTATACCTTCGAGTATTCGTGGAGTTGCCTTTCCCACTATCAATACAAAATTTGTCGAAAAGCAACCTCATCTGGCAAGGAATCTGGTATAAAGTGCCCATATACCTTCATCGGTCAAAGAATTCATGATCTGGAGGCTTAGGATGGACATTGGTATTGCATCTGGAGATATCATATCATGGATGGCTAAAATACTCCGGAAGTCTTGAGTCCAAGGCTAACTATATCTCTAGAGCATATCCTTAATCCTAAGGATAGGGTCTATCCTTAGACGAAAGGGGCTATCCTTTCATGGTCCTCCGCCTTGGGGTTAAGGATATGTTTACTACTTTGGATATCATTACAGCCCCTCGGACATACGGATAGATGCTACCAGACTCACCTTTATCCTTTAATATTCCGTCTACTCTATCCACAATATACCAAGATGCCGAAGCTTGATAACTTCACTTGAGCTGGATATAACCTGCTAAGATGTCACTGGTCTTCACATGAGATGCTTTGATATTTTACCCTTTTTGCTTTTCACCTACGGCTCACATTTGCTGCCAGCTACATCTTCAGTTTGCGATCTTTACTCTCGTTCACTACCTACTTACACTAATGCTGGTTCAAACTGCTACCGTTCACTAACCTGCTTATCGTATCTTCTACACCTATCCGGCTTTACCCCCACGTAGTAGCTGAATTCAACGTTGAATACGAGCATGTTCAGTGCCAAGAATATACAGGCCAGAAAGGCCTTCGGCCTTCGGCCTCGTTCCTCTACGTCAATTGCTGGCCGTCAAACCGGTCGTCTTTCCCTGCAGCAATACGCACATCGATCTAACCAAATCTCCCACCCAAGCCCATCTAGCCAACGAAGCAGCAGCGAACAGCTTTTTAGACCTCCTGCTAATCTTAATTACCTCTTTGACGCTGACAGCAACGAAAATGACTCTAATGGTAGCGCTAGCTCTGAAGAAGACGAAGACGACGATGATGCTGAAGGCCAGGATACAAAAGAACCCCCTGAAATTGTGGACTTGACCGGGAATAGCCTGGAAACTGCTACTCCTTTAGAAATTAACGATCTAAGCTCCATTAAAAGCACGAATCCACTGAATCTAGAGCCAACAAAGGTGGGACGGCTGTCCCAATCATCTCAACGTTCTACCAGCTCTAACCAAACACGTATGAGCGATGATGAAGCTGAATCGTGGTTACAGCTACGCCTTGCCGAAGAAGCAGCTAAAAAGAAGCGGACAATATTCGCACCCCTTCCACCGCCTAGTTCTCAACAACCACCACACCCACCATCTCCAACCCCTATCAGACCTACGGATGCGGCATGGAGATCCCAAAGCCTTCGCCGCAAGCCAGTCGTATGGGCGCCTCAAAGCTTTTTACCTGTGGACCGAAAGCATGCAGCCTATCTGGAGAGACTAGATGCTATAGAAGCAGCTTTCAAAAGGCTTGAACAAATTGGCCTGATGAATGAACGGTCTAGTATTGAGAAGATGGAGTTTGAGAACGTTAAGGCGAAATTTGATGCAAAGATACCCCTGACTAGCATAGAGAAGAGAAGGCTGCAAGATATCCAGCGGAATATCGAGCGCAGGGAGTATAGCTGGTCTGTTAATAAAATGGCTCTGGAAAGGAATGTTGTGAAGAAGAGGGATAATTCGGCTATTAATACATCGGCAGAAGCCAATGTTAGTGAGGCGAGCATATCTCCCAGGAACCCCGATGAACCCAAAGCGTCATCATCAAGGAGAAAACGTCCAACTAGCCATGCAGCTAAGCAACCAGAACCGATACAGGAAGATGACCAACCTGGTATGGAAGTCGAAACAACAGATGGCGAAGAAGACGATGAGGATCCCGATGAGGCTCAGGAGGATGACGCACCGGAACCCGTCTGGATCTACCATGTTTTCCGCACTGAAATCGACGCAGCAAATCCAAACCCAACGCCCGTCTATATATCGTCACATCTGAGCAGACTTCGTGCAGAGAGCAAGATGCGAGACCAAATATCAACCAGCTACGGCAATTTGAAGGAACGCACCCGCATGGAATTCCGCGTAACGTTCGAAGAAGACTTTACTGAACAAGTAGTCGAGTTTGCATCTGGTCGCACGGTAATAGTGCGAGTTGAACGTGAAATCCACGAAGAACCAGTAAAACGCAAGAAAAGGATTAAACTGCAGCTCATACCTACCAAAATATACACCATAATTGAGCAAATCAGCGCCACCCCCGTTGGCGATACCACCAGTGAGCACACTGCCCCAGCTGGGGCACAGAGCACAAAATATACTGAGATGCCTGAATGTTTTATACTCCGCAAAGACGCCAACGCCCAGGCCAATCGGCTCATGCTCGCTCATCTTACCGGCCATCTAGATGAGGCTGAACGGTTCAACTTGGACGTGACGGGAGACATTGACATGCAGGCTAGGCTGTACCTGCATGAACTAGACGAGGGGGAGAGGCTATACGATAAGAAACATGTCCTTCCTGAGGTGGAAGATGGGATGAGAAAGGAGGTATCTATCCGTGTCTTGGAACATCTTGTTCGAGGACCGAGGAACTAGCTCTAGTCTTCAAAGTACCAAACCACACTCTGAAATTTTAAGCCACTTCAACTCAGGAGGAATATTATGATCTGTTCATCTTGAATTTATGCTTTGCGTACCAGAATTCTGTATTCATCTAACATGGTCACTTTTCAATCAAATTTCTTCGTCTTTTTATGTTCGAGGTTTCCATAGAGTTTACACTCGCTTATTAATAAAGTTACGGATTAACCTCGATCCAATTAAGGTTAACCTGGATGAATAAGCAGCTTAAATTGAAAATCACATGACTGTATTTGAGAAGAGGAAGAAGAAAAGACAACAAAGAATACGACAAAGACAATCTGAGGACAATGGGACAATAGGGATTGTGAAGTTAAGGGGAGACGAATAAGGACGACGAGGGCCGGCACCCAAGCTGTGTATTGCACCATTGGACAAGCATCGAAAGGAAAGAGTCACAAAACACTTCCCATCCAGGGCTCTGCATCTAAACAACTCGTAACCCACGACACAAGCGATAGTTGCTCGAAAGTAAGTCTCATTGAATTGAGGCCGGAGAAAGAGGACAAGATGACGACTTCTACCGCCGTCCCAGCGTTTACCGCTGACGTTCCGACGCTCCTCTCCATCACGGCCGCCCTCTCAATAATGCCTCTCTCCTACCTCCTAGGCACCGCCCTTATCCCTTCCAACCAGCTTCGCAACCGCCTCCTTTTCTTCTGGCACGCCTACGACGCCGGAACTCATCTCTTGATTGAGGGATCATTCCTCTACCACTGCTTCTTCAGCTACAAGCAGCTTCAACCAGGCGAGACCATCCCCGGCGTCTATGGACCACCATACTTCCTTAACAGGCCAGATAGAGCTTACGGTCCCGCTTACGGTGTGGGAGCCAGTGCTAGAATGTGGCAGGAGTACGGCAAGGCAGATGCGCGCTGGTTAGGTGCTGACCTGTGCGTGGTCTGCCTAGAGCTATTGACCGTGCTGATCGGGGGTCCGCTGGCAGTTTATATCTGCTACCTGCTTACCATGTCTTCGTCCACGAGTGCTACGAGCGCTTCCAAAGCGAAGTACTCTAGCTGCCTGTGGTTTTCATCAATTATCTTGGCCGTGGGGGAGCTGTATGGCGGGTTCATGACGTTTGGACCAGAGTGGTTCTCGGGCAGTGTTGGCTTGGAGACGAGCGATCCGGTCTATCTGTGGCTCTACCTGGTTTTTTTCAACGTCCTTTGGGTCATTGTTCCGCTCTGGGTGATATCTGTTGCTTGGGGAGAGATCAAGGTTGCTTTTGCGACTGCTGCTGTTGCGAACAAGCAAACCGCTAAAAAGCTCAACTGATAGCTCTATGATCTATTCTATTCTCCTCAATGAAACACAATTGCTATGGTTGCCATGCTTATTAGAACAAAACCTTCCGAGCGGCATTAATACCACTAAGATCCCACTTGTGCGGCGCAGTCAGATCCATCCACGCTGACCAGTCGCTCCAAAAAGCAGGTCTCAAGATCTGTGTTTATTCCCAATAATCGGGGTACCATCCTGCGTATTCCTAGTCTAGTACTCCCGCTATGTTGCTTTGCTCGTCGATTATAATATTGCGAGGCGCTATATCGCCATGCGTGAAAACTAAGCAGTCGGATCGCGGCAATATATCAGGTAACTAATATTTATATCGACAGCCCCCGAAATGTAAATAGCGTTCGTAGATGCGGGTTTTAAGTAATAGATCCTATGTAAGGGAGCCATCGACGGCGCACTGAAAGAGACTATCAAGCTCTGGAGGACGAGGGATAGCTTGTAACTGTGAGATTATATCCTAGACTTAAAGGCAAACGGACCTTCTACTCTATTTATTTAGTATATTCTACCTCTTTTCTAGGGAAACTCCTCGAACGAGGGCCGTCCCTATTCTCCTATAACCAGGGCCGAATTGCGTGAATAGGACCTCAGGCACAGCACCGAAGTGTACTTACACACCATCCTCATTGCTTCAGGCTTAGCTTGCCGCAAGCCGTGCCCGGACTTGGATATATACGATGAATCATACTCAAGGACTATCCGGCCCATCTGTTTGCTAAGGACTGTGATTCCGGAAGAAGACTTGATGGATCTGGGGCTATTAAACAGAAATACAACGCTTTGCCGATTTTAATATAATGGGCACCCTCTCGCATATCGCGGGTTTGAAAAGGAGTGTCAGCGGAAGAGTTAGCCATTGGGCGAAGGGTTTTGATATGGCAACACCTGGATATCAGGATTCTCACTCAATAGCTTTGGAGCTTCATCCCAATCGAGTCTGTGGTCTGGTTTCTATGTTTCTATACTTCCCCCTGAACTCCTCCCTGGCCAGCCATAAATCCAGCTTCAGGGGCTCACGGCCACCCACAGCCACGAGAGTCAGCATCTGCTTAACTGCCGACCGTGCCACTGTCTGCGTCGATAGTTAGAGAGCACCAAGGACAGGCACTGCCACAGCCAGTGTTGGCGGTGGATATAAACACGAGAAACAGAGGATTGGCGTTCGTGATGAGAAGCGCCGCTTTGGAGGGGCTGGAGGTGGAGGATCCTGGGTTTAGGTCGCCTTTTATTTAACCAGCCAGATCCCCCAGCAACACCTACCAGCGACATAGTTCACTAAGCCATCTAGCTCACTCGCACTGCTGCAACCTATTACTACGGAGGGCATAGATTGCTAATTATCCTACTCCAGACCAGTCACTGCGGCTCTTGCTCGCTTTTGCCTCTGTCATGGCTGGATATCCCCCGCCAGGCCGTATGTTGCGCCCAACCAGCCCCCCTATACGCACAACCCCCTTAGCCCATTATTAGTGAAGCCGTACTAATTACGATATGTCTAGAGTACCCCTATCCGCCGCAGGGTGGTGCGCCGCCTCAGGGATACCCTCCTCAGGGCTATCCTCCTCATGGCCAGCCACCACCACAAGGACAGTACCCCCCTCACGGCCAGTACCCTCCGCAAGGCCAGTATCCTCCCCCTGGAGGCGCGCAAGGTCAATACTACCCACCGCAGGGACAGCATCCTCCCCCTCAAGGGCAGTATCCTCCCCAAGGCGGCCCTCCTCCTCCGCAGGGACAGTATGGCGCCCCTCCACCGGGTGGTGCCCCGCCGTACGGATATCCGCCTCAGGGACAATATCCTCCCGCACAAGGATACCCACCTCAAGGCTATCCTCCGCAAGGCTACCCTCCGCAGGGATATCCCCCTCAGCCGGGGTATGGTGCACCGCCTAGCGGGCCACCAGCACCTCCGTCTCCGGGCTACGTGCCAGGGCAGATGGCACAAGGAGACGCCAGCAGAGAAGCTGACATTCTGCGCAAAGCCATGAAGGGCTTCGGGACTGACGAGCTCACGCTGATAGAAGTTCTTGCAAGGCCAGACCCGCTTCAAATGGCTCTTATCTCACATACCTTCAACTCTCGCCACAAGCGCAACCTGGAAAAGGACATCGAAAAGGAATGCGGAGGCAAGTTTAGAGATGTTATGATGGCTCTTGTACGCGGACCCCTGATGCAGGATGTCCACGCTATCAACAAAGCCATCAAGGGTATGGGCACCAATGAAAAGCTGCTCAATGATGTCCTGCTTTCCCGCTCCAACGCAGACATGAATGCCATCAAGACAGCGTACAAGGCCACCTTCGGACGTACCCTCGAGGCAGATGTACGCGGTGACCTGTCCATGCAGACAGAACAGTTTTTCAACTTGGTTCTAGCCGCAACTCGTTGCGAAGAAAGTGCCCCTCCGAACCAGTACCAGCATGACCAAGACATGTCGCAGCTCTGGGGAGCCATGGGAGGAAACACAGGCGTACCCAAGAACACGGTCTGGCAGATCATCACCCAGCGATCCAACAACCAGATCCGTGCGCTTTGCGATGACTTCCCCAAGAAGCACAATACGCCTCTCAGCGTGCAGATCACAAGCCATTTCTCTGGCCATATCCGTGATGCACTGGTGTATATGCTTGAAAAGGCAGTTCGGCCTGTCATGCATGATGTGCTGGCGTTGGAAGATACCATGGCTGGCATGGGCACTAACGATTGCCTTCTGATCGAGAGACTGGTGCGTATTCACTGGAACAAACACCACCTTGAACAAGTCAAGCAGGAGTATGAGAAGAAGTACGGCAAGCCGTTGAGGTCACGGGTCGCCGGTGAGACCAGAGGGGATTACGAGAAAGCTCTACTTGCTATGCTCCAGTGATTTAAGGGGGTCAGATGTTTGAGTCACTTACCTATCTGCTGTTTGTTGGCTTTGTCTAATTTTCTCCCGGTTATGAATCCGCTCTTATGAGTATTCGGGAGGATAATCTTGTTGGAAAGCTTCTTGTGTCTTGTAATATTTGTAAGACTTAACTGGGTTGTTGGTAGAAGAGGTAATGTATTGATAGTATTATGTAGTATTTTGATGCTACCAGCAGAATCATTCCAGATGAATGGATATGGGAAGAAAGACCAGAGAGTCTTCCAACACATAACTAGCAATGGAAACAGATAAGATAGATGGGACAAGGGTATGTCAGAGTCAATACCATCGAAACACAATGAATGTCATCACTTCATCAGCGCAATAAAAAAAAAAAAGAAAATCGAAAAAGAAGCCTTCACTGAAGGCATCGGCAGACCAAGCTCTGACAACTAAAAATCCCTCCCCCCTCGTCTCTTATTTACTTGTCATGATCTAGAAACTTCCCAACCTGGTCCCTCACGCTAAAACCATTGAATAGCCAGTCATTTCCATGTCTGCCAACTTGCGTCATGGTGCTGCTGCGTCTCTTGTGATTAGAGCTGCTGCTCTTGCGAGAATGGCGCTTCTTCTTGTGACATTCGTCCGCAGCCGAGTCTGGCGTGTTCAGCTCCGGGCTCACCATATGTGTGGGCGAAGTAGTCTGTTGGCCGCCATGGGCTAGGTGATGAGATGTGCTAGTATCAATTGGGGCTGGAGCAGGAGATTTTGGCCGAGACTGGGAACGAGATCGGGAGTGAGAGAATGAGCTGAAGAAATGGCTTCGGGAGGGAGAGGTTGGTGGCTCTAGGTGGGAGCTTGCAGTTGGCGGAGAGGTAGTTCCGCCCAGGCTGGATCCCCTGCTGTGACGGTGGAAGAAGTGTGGCAACGACGAAGAGTGAAGGGGAGTCTTCGATGTATCGCTGTTCCCTGAGCAGGTGGTCGTGGAAGTAGAGAGGCTTGGGACGGAGGAGGAGGTCGACTGAGTTGTCTGAGCCAGGAATAGTGGGCGATCAGGCATTGTTGCTGTGGCTTGCTCTTGTCCAGAATACATGAACTATAGCGTTTATAGAAAGTAGATGTATGTCGTCCAGCAACTTGGAGACGTGCAAATCAATTGCAAATCTGGTGAGCAAGGTACGTTGTATACGAGCAGAAGTGAAATCAAGCAGGAAAAACTCTTGCGTCTAGCAAGCGAAGGAGAAAAGAGTGGAAGTCACAACGCCCTGCGTCATAAGAGATGTCTCAGATAACTATTAGTTAGGGCTAGAAGTCGGTAGTCGGTGAATAAACAGGGAAGCACAAGAACAATCGAGGGGGGCGACCCGGTTGTATTTATGCTCTCATTTTCAAGCGAGGATGCGCTGGAACGAGCCGGTCAATGACTGTTCTGCGAATGGCCTGCTAGACGAACGCTTGAGACATCCACACAAACGGTCATTGGCCGTGACGTATGTATGTAGCTGCTGTGAACGATTCCCAACCTCCCCCCTCTTTGACCGGGGGAGATCTCCGACTGTGGAGAAGCCGGTTCAGCTAAGAATCGGTGCAGTGAATCTGGGCTTCCCTTTATGCCTATGTTCACGGCTCCGGCACCTTCATCATGGCCGGAGAAGCAAATACGACAGCGAGAGAATAATGAATATTCACCAAGGCACTCAGGCCGCGGCCGGGCGTCTCTTGAGCCGCATGTCCACGCATGTCAAGTTGTCACCTGGCTCGGCGTGCGCAAGAATTTGTTAGCAAACAAGCCGTTCTCTCCACGCTGGCAAGGAATCGCATGCAAGTTTGACTTCGTTCTAGCAGCTGGGCGGTCTTGCGGCAATCAACTTGCGCCGAAATGCCATATCGCAAAGACTGCCGCGTGACATTGGACCGACGCTCCGTCTTGTTATCTCGAATTGCTCGGAGACGGGCGCTGAAAGGCACTCAGGCATCTTCTCGGCACGCTCATCTTCAGCCCTACCGGGTCCTTCGAAAGGTACGAGCATTCCTTGGTGTACTTCCCTGGTACCCCCGTACCACAATATGACGCAGTGTCGATCCTTCAAGAAACATGGGACGTCCAACACGACCTGTTAACTCCTCGGAGGCGCCATTTCGTCTCTCTGAGCGGTTTCCTGGGAGGTTATCGTCTTTTGCTCCTGATACTCGGCAGAGATAGCCGTGGCGGACAACAAACACGGATTTCGGGGTGGATCGAGATGTTGTGTGATCTTCGTAACGTCCTCGTATTCAGGGATGTTCCATCCTCGGTCATCTTTGTGCGCTTTTCTTGGACGATAACTATGTCCGCGGAGCCGCATGGCAACCAGGCGTATTCGGAGTTCTGAAAAGCTGTCAATCGCCGGCATTTCGTGTCTTTATGGCTTGTGTCTTTTCATCATCGCGAGAAGTGTCGTTGAATTTGTCGTCGTCGTCGCTGGAAATCGATATCAACACAGATGACTAAGCCTATCTATCACGACTGCGGCTTCTCTACTTGCATGGAAATATCAGGATGCAGAATACACTTTCAAGGCCTATATTAGATATCTCTTGTATCTGTGATGCGTGTTGAACCCAGCACGATACGGCTATACAATTTGGCTACCAACATCATAATATCATATCGTCCGGACTAGAAATAACCCCTCTACACCAGATGTGAAGTATTCCGTTCATGCACAGTGTGCACAGCCGCTCGTGCATCCTTTGCTGCAGTGCTCTAGATATCTGGCACTGGTAGGAGAGACGCAATCATACAGACCCTGGAGGTCAGGGACATTCCCCCATCCTAATGCTCAGGTTAGGGCAAAGCAAGCACAGCCACTGAAGGAGTGAAAATACTCACCAAGGCCATCAGCAAGATACCATCCACAATAGTTGTAACCGACCTTACAGACTTGAGCAGGAACTAGATTGTTGCCGTTGCCGGGAGTTGCCTCTTCTTTCAATGCTGCGCCGTTCGCAACGGCGACGAGAGAGAGGGTAATCAGCGAAATGAAATGCATTATTGCAGATTTGAGAGGGAGATGTCTGTATTTCCACGGGCTCAGAGTGTGATCGTTCGAAGCGTTCAACTGTAGCAGTTGTCAAGATTGTTTTGGTTGATGGAGATCACTTTCTGGACTGGAATATGAGCCCCTATTTATACCCAGAGAAGCCATGGAGGATGAGAAATATAGGGCACTTCCAGATCATCAGAGATTGAATAATTTCAAGCTCTATAGACCACGGCCTGTGATTTCCGTCAGGATCACAATTCCAATACGAGACTCTGCCATATAACTCCAGCGCAATCCCATGTCGATTATCCGGAAGAAGCAATCGTTTCATAGATATTGGGTATATTATTCCATGAAGGTGCCATATATTTCTCATTGATATCCGCAGCAGAATCCGGGGAGATGGCCAGGTATAGAGAGCCTTGGCTGGAGAAAAAATATCAAAAGCGCAAGGTCGACATCAAGAATCTTGCATAGAGAACAGACAAGCAGGCCCATTTACCAATATATATATTGTGGCTTCGGAGGTCTGATCTAGAACTGTAGCTTCACGGATATATAAAGTCGGTTTATATGCCTATCCTGTCGTCGTTTAATATATTCTACTTCTCTAGTCTCAGGACGAAAGTCAATAAGCGAAGATGCAAGCTCCCTATTGGATTTCACACTAGATATAGGGCATTCATTAGGTAGCATGGCCGGCCTGAATGTCAACCTGCTTTCAGGTATTAATTAAACTGTGAGGCTTCAAGGATACATACCTTCTTCCGACATACTCCGTAAGCCATCATATTATTAGGGACAGCCTGCTGGCATGACCAGATTACCCGGAATAAGTCGAGGAAGTTATAGGGCGTGGCTGACCTCCACAGACTCGGGATATCATCCCTGTTGGAAACAATCAGCCGGAAGCTGGCTGGGGTGTGGGATGTCAATGCAGGGGCGAGTTTGGGTATTCCCAGCACGCAGGCGTTATTTATGAAGCTAAGGAGTAACTAATGCGACCCAAAGCACATCCGATAAAAATCGAAAGAAGATGCAGACTTGTCCTTCATATTCTTCCATATCATAGTAAAAAAGATATTCTTCATTCAACTGAGGGTGAAAAAAAGAGGAAATAAAAAACAAATGAATGCGCTCCCTAGCGGGGAATCGAACCCCGGGCACGAGTGTGAGAGACTCGGATGTTACCTCTACACCACTAAGGACGGCTGATGTGTAGGTTGGGACCTCGGCTATCTAACAGGTCAAGCGGGCCATGTGGATCATGTGACCGTTTGGATGACCACTCGACGATGCATTAGAGTCGCCAGACGTTATTTTATAGACCGCGGATGTGTTCTTAGACAGCCAGGATAGTCCCAGCTTGTCAGCTTGCATCGTACTTCTAAACTCACTCCTTCTCTTGGCCCAAGGATGTGGATGACTTGTCGATAATCAATATTACATGCCTAGAAAAGCTGGCACCTGAAAGGACCCAACCCTCCATTTCTGGCATAAAATGCGAATTATTGGCAGCATGACAAGTTATTACTTTGGAAGCAGGCTGTTGAATACGGCGGATGCCGAGTTGTGCCGTGCAGAGATGGACTCTGGACTCTAACCACTGTCACCTGAAGGGGAGACGCTGGATGCCAGCCTTGGGTTCACTTAGCTCTCCACAGCCAATGGGCCTAAACACCATCTTGATGGACATTTGTTCATGGATACTAAGAAGTAGAGCCATGATAGCCCGTCTTATCTTATCCATTGTGAATATCTTGCCTACAAAGCATGATGGGAAAGGTGAGATAATAGGCCAAAAAAGACATTGAGAAGGGACTGTGCTTATTTTGATACCCATCTGCTATTTTTCGGCCCACCGAAAGAGAAAGCTTTCGGTTGGCTGATTTCTGTGATATCCGAAAAAAGATAGCTATTGAGAATATTGTCTTCAAGAGACAAGATACTCAATCACAAGCTTTTCTTTGCCCTGAGGAGATTTCCCCCTTTTCCCGTGCTGGTGATACTTTGTCTACAACGTGGACAGATTTATCAGAGCTGAAAGACAGTTCGATAGATAAGCGCGGTTGTTTACCTTTTTTTGCGGAATGGAAAGAGCTACCAGAGAGGGTAGGACTTGGAAAGTGCGAATCAAAGAAAGAACTACCCAGGACCTGGTTGCTCCTGCCGCAACAGAGACGGGAACTCAGATGATATTGCATACATCAATCATCGAAAAGGCTGATATTGACAAGAAGCTATTGGTTGTCATGATATATCACTGCTTTGATGTATGGCTCCGCTATCATTTAACTTATACCACTAATTGCTGTTTGACGCTGTGCTACACTCTTTTTCCACCGGGCCCACAGGCCAACCTCCCATATGCATGGATAAGAAACATTTGCTGATTCTCGTTATAACGAGTTTTGCATCCTGGCTACTCATTGTTCTACTTATCTTCGCTACCTGGAAGGCTGCAGACTGGTTTGGTCAAGAGCCCAGGGACGTCGAAGCCGCTCAGGTTGAGCCCGACATTCTAACCGATATCCCACAAGTCAAACACGTTCGTTTTTCAGCTACCGTTGAATTCATTTAGGTGATATCCTTGAACTGGATGCTCATACGCTCGTTAACCCTTGACTCTGCAATTGGTGTTATTTTTGTGGCTGATGTTTGCGTTACCAAGACTAATAATCCATGGCTCCCATATATAATCATTACATCTCTTTTCAGCGTCGGGAAATCATTCAACCACCTCGCCTCCCAAACGGCCCAGGAGGAGCTGTGCCCGTGGACGAACGTATCGATTTGAGAACTTTCCTTCTGCTATTCATTGGAACGGTGTCTATTTTCATACTCGGTGTTTTCTACTGGAAACTGGGGACATTTTTACGCTCATTCACGCGCTCAAGGGTGACTGGAGGAGGGCGGAGTGCAGCTTCGCCTCACGTTAGAGCCTGGTACGGATGGATTCCCACTATGGAATATAACTATCATAAAGAATGGTGGAAAGAGGACTTCCGCTGGGCTAGGAAGTTCATGTTTTGGAGGTCTTCACATGCGAATTATAGTTGGATATGGTGGGACCCAGATGGTGAGAAATCAAGGCAACGAGCTGAAGATGAGGGTCGGCTGAGGCGTATCCCCTCGCGGTTGATGAGATATGCCATCAACGGACTGAGGCCCAGCTCGCACTCACAAATCAACCCTGAAATGGGTGTTCCCCGAATGAACCGCTTGTCTACCCTTCGAAGACACCATAACCGCAGAATCATGGAATATGAGGATCTCAATATACCACGGCGTACCGATTTGAGTCTTTCGCCCTCTTTGAGGACACGATCCAAGTCCTTCGATAATAGTGGATATAGAGCAGGAAGTGAAACACCACTTCGCCCTGCAGCTCGAAAAACACATTCCGAAGGCTACCGTGATGGCTCACGCCACGTACGTTTTCATAGTCCAGCTGCTCAGCCACTTCATACCAGACGAAGACATGGACAAAGCAGCATCCTGAGCATGGGGAATTCCATGGACGAGACACATGGTGAAAAATCACTTTCCTGGAAGTATAGGGCATGGGGTGCAAGGATGCAATGTCAGACCTTTGGTGATACTCCTGGAGTTCTCAAAGGCCATGCTGGCCGACCAGGCACAGCAATGTCGTTCGCTCTCAAAAGCATGATATCATCAGGGTCCGGCTCAGATATATACCAGTCTCATCATTATGATACTGGGACTCAGCCAGCTCCTCGATTGCCAAACCACCCTACTCCAGAAAGGAGACAGATACCAAGACCACGATGTCGGCCAGGAGAAGATACTCTTCGCATCCGCAAATGCCGCGGGATACGACGTCGACCTCCTCTCGAGAATTGCTTGAGCCGCCCTGAAGTACGTCTAGTCGACAATTTAAATAGAAAGCTCGAGTGGTTATCGAGTGAAATGGACCCAGGTCGAAAGTCATTTGCGTTTCTCCTTCTCCACAATCATTGGCTCAACCGGGCTACTTGGGTTGTAATGGATCCTTCATCGAGACTCACTGTTCAGAAAAAAAGAATACAGAGCGATCCTAGAGTGAATAAGAAGGCATTTGGCGGTAAAAGCAATGCTGTTGTACCCGACATTACCCCTGCACCAAGAGCCAGAGCAGTTACGCCACGGATAGACTCCTGGAGGGTAGCAGTCAATCGAGCGAGGGTGTCTTCTGGAGCTAAAGAGATTCCAAAGGTTGAGTTACTCGAAGGCTCGGCTGAAGATGCTGCTGATAACAACGTCGACCCAGCAAGCTGGATTCTCAAGAAACCCCCACAAGGACACGGAATGTCGAATAAGCAGAAACAGACCTACTTCGAAGGCCCTGGTGGCTGGGCTGAGAAACTGGAGTACTGGGAGAATGTTCCCCGGTTGTATAGGGTCCGGAGGGTAGTTCTTCAAGGCAAAGCCAACCGCCGATGTGTTGCTAGAACTGGAAAGGGCATATATCACGGCCTTGAGAGAGCTGCTCGGGAAGCAAGGAGGCTCAGTGCCCAGCAGTACCAAAAGATCAGACAGCTTGAGAGGTCTGAGAAATCGGGCCGGGGAGTTGTAAGCCTACATCATTCCTTGAGAAGCACTCTTTCAAGGTCCGCGGTCAGTTTGCCGGGAATGGATAGCCCAACACTACAGCCACAGAGTACCACTGATCCGGTGTCGATGCATGAACGAGACGAAGGCTGAACCAAACAAAACCACAGCATTCATGGAAATTATTATTCTTACCGTTCGGAGTGAATTTAATCAGTTTATCTTTCATTTTTGCATACGGAGAAATGGAGTGGCCAGTTGTTAATTCCCTGGAAATGGGACAAGTCTCTCTGGGTTCAGCATATCCGTAGGATCATCAATTACCAATAGAAAACAAAAAAGAAAAAAACAATCCAGTAATAATACACACGTATATTCAGTGTATGTCTAACCGTAGAAGGACAGCCAAAAGGGAAAAACTCCGTACATGCCCACATATTCGAGGAAGAAAGATATTTATACATAGCGCAGAGCCAGTATCCGCGGCAAACAGAAATGATATATCGATGGAAAAACGTGAAGAGGCAACTCTAGAAACCAGGAGGGTTAATTCTCTGGCTAACACGAGTCCATTTGGGAAGTTCTAAGAAGCCCCCAGTTAGCATATGTCCATACCACGCTACAAAATAACCGGTCCCCTAAAGGTCCGTAAGCCACCAAAGCAGCACGGATGAAACGTACTATGTATTCCCTTGCGGTACTTCTTCTCCTTCCGGTCGAAAATAGTATACTTGTCTCGTGGTAGCATTTCCTCCTCCCTAGGCATCTCTCGGTACCACCGCTCTACAGGCTTCGTGGCTCCAAGTCCATTTCTTTCCAGCGCAGCGTAAACCGTATCAACAACATTGTCAACTGCTCGTAGCCGCTTTCGTTGTCTAGCTTTCTGAGGACTGGACAGGCGCCAGGGAATTTTCCTAATGAAAGATTCAGGTTAGCCGTTACCCATCTTGTAATCGGCGGAAGGGCCAAATGGCACTGGCACGGGGCAATTGGGCGTACCATAATAGACCACTGAGTAAAGGGGAGGTAGGCTTGAACATCTTGAGTGGAATTGGCGTTTATCAGACGCTGAAAGGCGATCGTTCAATGTCCTTCTTCGTGAGTTTTCACATTTGAAGATTTGAAGCCGCGACTTTTTTTTCTTAGGGAGATCATTGAATGGTCCGTGCACGCCACTTCTCCAACTCTGATATAACCAACCAAAGCAACACTTCGGGCCTTTTGGATGCGAGGTTCATCCCGCCAGACCGTTGCTATCTTGTACCATATCATCTCTTTCTTATGTCTTGTCTATATAGAAACCTATCAATCGGGTTAATGTCGCTCCTTAGCATCCCATGAATTAATCAACTGGACATACTCCCGGCTCGCCTTAACTACCGAGTCGACCTCCCGCCGAGATCCCGATGCAGCTCAAAGATGGGACGCTCGAGCAGCCGTCCTCCGTCTGGAGGTCTCTATCCTCCGCTACTACGCTGACTATTGCGGCGTTATGTCGTGGGTTTCTATTCTCGCTTAATACCACGGAAGTCAATGGCTTGGATCGATTCTTGAAGCTGCTAGAGTCGCGGCAAGATGATAGCTCGAGGACACGCGGATTAATCACTGGTTAGCTACTCTATCTATATACTTGGCCGAAAGCTGTGATGAATCCAGGACGCTGACTTTCTTTGTTTGTTTTTGCAGTTTCAAATCACATTAGTGTGTACGTAGCTTGACGTCGCCCCTTTTTCGCAAGCACATATACAACGTGAACACTGGGCTGAAACTTCCCGGGTGGGCGCTATAGCATGGACGATCCGTTGATGTGGGGTGTTATACCGTTGCGAAGCCATTGGGAGTTCCGGCCATGCAACCGGAGATGGGCTCTTGGAAGCCATGATATTTGTTTTAAAAATAGGTACTGACCGGAAGTCACCCAAGGTATGATGGCGTGCTAACTCTCCTATATAGATTTATGTCTGCGTTCTTTACTTACGGGCAGGTTCTCCCAGCACATAGACTTTTTCATTCTTCTCGCGGTGGGCCCTTTCAGCCTACTGTAACACAAGCCATCCGGTTACTATCCAAGGGACCTTTCCCTGTGGACCCTCATGGGGCTCCTACAGACAAACAACGATGGAGTATAAGCAATACCTGTGTTGATCCTTTCTCGGAGGTACCTACGGCTTTTACTACAAATGGAGAGGACGCTTTTCTAGCTCCATCTACATATGCATGCAACTCCTACTCTTGGATACACATCTTTCCAGAAGGGATGATACACCAGTCAGCTCACAAAACTATGCGCTACTTCAAATGGGGCATTTCTCGCTTGATATTGGAACCAGATGAATGTCCAGATATCGTCCCAATGTGGATTGAAGGGACGGACGGTGTTATGCATGAGGACCGTGGATTCCCTCGTTTTATTCCTCGCATAAACCAGAAAGTCAGCGTCACGTTTGGAGAAAAGGTAGACACGGAGGCTATATTTGGAGAGCTAAGAAGCAAGTGGCAGAAGCTGAAACGGGAATCGGAGCAAGGAAGCACTGAACCTCTCGCAGTTGGCATCTTGAATGAGAAGCTCATGTACGGAGATGAAGCTACGGAACTTCGTCTGGAGTGTACGCGAAAGGTTCGGGATCTCGTTCTTGAGGTCCGGCGTTCAAGAGGCTTCCCGGATGAAGATCCAAAGGCCAGCATGGCCGAAACATGGCTGAGAGAAGGGCCTAAGAGAGAAGGCAGGATGGATGACGGCTCTCTGGTTAGGGACATCTAGATTCTACTTTTACTTTGAGTTTACGTTGAGTATATCAATATCAAAGGAGTGTAAATGCAGCTTGGGCCAACATTTTGAGGCTGTAGCAAGTCGCCAAGCACTTTCAGCCGCCACTTAAAATAGATGTCAGTCAATACGGGAATCAGTCACTATTTCAAGCAACATGACGGAATATAAAGTACTCCGTACGGCTTCAGCCTGTCCTGGTCTTCTCCGACCAAGTTAGATCTCCTTTCACTCATTCTCTATGCCCAAAAAACACAAGTCTCCATCCATTAAACCAACGCCTGCCGCCCATCCTTCCCTCCAGTCGACCAGATCAACCAACCATGGCCAGACAGCAACAGGTCAATCATCGGTCAATGAAATCCTTCAGCAGATGCGAAATGCGTCTTCCAACGCCACAGGTTCACGACAGGCAAGACTAGCGCCTAGAACGGTTCATCCGTCTCTAAGAAACATATTAGAACTTCCCGAGACGCCTCCTCCCCGACCTCGACCGACTACATCCCGCCAGGCAATCGGACAGCGAAGAGTCCGCCGAACCCCGGGACCGCCTCCTCCTCTTAGCTGGATAACCCCTAATACAGGATCAAGTGCAGGTCTAGATACCCCCGACGAGGGTACGTTGAGAAGCCGTGGCTTCAAGTTTGGCCGTCGACTCGATCGCCTTCCTGGCGCAAGGATTCCGCCAGAGGACAGTTTACTACACACCACACTTCGGTTTATGGCTAGAAACTGGGATTGGCATCTTATATATGATGGAACGTTCCTGTCAACATTGCCAGTGTCAATAAGGCAGCTCCTGTTGACGTATGTATCCGTCTACACAGATCATTTATCGATGGGGGTCAACATGAAGGGTTTAGAGCCTCTATTTTTGACCCAGGAGTCCGGGCCCGAAGACAATGCTGAAGTGACTCGGCTAGACCTTGGATTTTCCATTGGATACTGGCTTAATTTGAAACAGCTCTCCAAACTTATCAAAGGCAATATACCAAAACATAGGGAGAGCACACCTGTTCCTACTTCATGGGAGGAGTAAGCTGACCTAGAGACACAAAGTCCTAGTCTCCATACTCCAAGCCAGCTCGAAGTGGCCGCCTTCAGCAACATCAAATTTCTTTCTTTAGCATGTCCAGCCCCGGAATCCGCAAGCTGGGTTTCTCTTATGAAACTTCTTTCTCATATCCCAACGTTAACCCATCTTTCTCTTGCTTATTGGCCTACCCCAACTTTGAAACCCAACGCTCTAACGGCGAGCGTGAGTCACCCAAAGCATCATTCACTCTCTTTTCAATATGGAGCGTCGGATGTATATTCTTCCTACGAGAATAATTGGACAGAAGCATCTATCGTCCTGGCAAAACTGTCAAGGGTAACCTACGCCCTTAAATGGCTTGATCTTGAAGGCTGCACTGAATGGATCCCAGCATTGTGCTGGAATGGAATTGACATCTATGGACAGGTGCACAGTGCTTCAGGTCCAGAATGGAATGGCTCGTGGAGAGGGATAGAGTGGATAGGACTTGGTCCTGGATGGATCCCAGCGGCCCCGGCCCCCGATAACATATCTGTCACGGAAGTTGACGAGGACATAGTGATGAAGCAACAAGATAGATTCCGCAAAGAGCGAGAATCCTTCAAAACCACGCTTGAGAGGATCAAAGATGTTGGTAAGGGCATTCAAACCGCAAGGATAGAAGGGCGCGGGAAATGGATACATTATTCTGACGGATCAGAGTGACGAGCGCGAATTTTAAATATCTAAATATGTTGTCTTCATCTGTAAAGGCATTTATGCACAGGAATAGGCGTCTTGTTTATAGCAATATCTACGCTCAGCTATACAACATTGGGTATTTTCATATTAACAAACCAAACCACCCATTTTTTACTTTGACTTAAACGACTTCAATGGATCAATTTTTCGTCCAGCGCGGCCTTTCTTTGCAATTCTCCCTCGAGCCCTGTTCTTTTGTCTAGCTTGCCGAATCCTGTTCTCCTTTTTGTGTAGCCCAACAAACCCAATGTCTTCACTCGTTAGTGAACTCTTCCCCTTGGTGGGCATTAGATACTCCGGCACATTCTTCAACTGGCTCTGCACTCTCACAGACCCAAGTTCCTGATCATGGCGTAACTCGCGTAGCTCTTGGGGATTCTCTTCGAAATGTCTCTTGAGTTTCTCACTCTTGACCAGTTCTTGTCTAATCTCCTTTGCCCTGGCTTCTTGAACGGCTATTCTAGTCACCGCTCGTAGGGCATCTGTCATTCGGTATCTGAACACCTCTATTTGCTTCTTGTCGAAGTGGTAGGGCTTCACCTCTCTTCCCATCTTCGCTTGTCGTTTCTCTATTTTAGCAAGGACAGACTCATCGTTCTTTGCTGGTGGGAAAATCGTTGGTTTGTGCTTTCCATACAATTCAGATGGAACAACAAATGAAAGAGCCATCCCGGTTTTTCCAGCTCGGCCAGTTCTGCCAATGCGGTGGGTATATGATTTAGCAGTCGTTGGAAGGTCGAAATTGAGAACGCATGCAACATCCTGGAAATCTATTCCTCGAGAAATGCCATAGTCTTTCTCCTTTTCTGACTTTTTCCGTTTCTTTTTGTTGGATGGTGGCAGTTTTTCTTCCACTTCTTCAGGTTCGCTGAGGTCCTTGTTTTCTTCTGTAGCGGCATCAGTAATAGGCACCTCACTCTCGGATGTCTCCTTTTTTGACTCGATTTTCCCTATGACTTCTTGGTCATCGGCAGCAATTATAATATCATAAACACCCTTGTTGAATTCCTCAACAGCATGTATTCTAGAATTTGCTGGCAATTCTGAATTGAGGATACAACTCTTGATACCAAATTGTTCCAGGAATAACTTGAGTCGATAACATCGATCCACATCGCCGACAAATATAATGCATTTGCCTTTCACGAGTTGCAGTTTGAATATCACGTATGTTAGTAGAAATTTGTCATCCTCAGCACACCTGAAATATCATTTGTTAGTCAATTCAGATATACGGCATGATAGTGAAGAGTAACGCACTTCACTGCAAACTGGCTTATACCAGCGCCCTCATCCTCGGCCTCTTCAAGTTTCAAGATAGCAGGACTTCTACAAAAGAGTCCCTTCAGAGTATCAACTTCAGATGTCAGTGTAGCACTCATCAGGAAAGTCTGAACACCACGCGGAATTGCCTTCGCCAGGTTTTGCATATCTTGCTCATATCCATATGAGAGAACCAAATCAGCTTCATCAATAACTACTTGTGATATGGTGTCCAAAGCCAACGCCGAGTTATTGACGTTCACAATTGCTCGCGCGGGTGTAGATATAACAATATCCGGTAAATCTGCAAGAAGCGCGCGTTGGACAGCATCGGAAACCTTCTGTGTGAGGTTCCCTGACCGTATATCCTTGGAACAGAACTCTGAGAACGCAGTTACGGTTTTGTGTACTTGTTGAGCAAGCTCTCTCGTTGGTACCAGGATCAAAGTTGATATCGACTTATGCGCGGGGTCGACCTAGCAATCATAATTAATAAAGGATAACAGATTCCAATGTCTCCCAGTATAATTACCGCTTTCTTCTGTAATATCTTCTGTATGATCGGAATCAGGTAAGCTGCTGTTTTTCCAGATCCGGTTTTTGCCCTTGCTACAATCAATGGAGAATTAGTCGACTGGCTTATGAAATTATGAAATGTTATAGATGTAGCACCATACCGAGGATATCCTTCCCACTGAGTGCCAGGGGAATAGCCTCCGCCTGAACTAATGTCGGCTTCGAAAATTTTTGTGATGTCAAGGCCTGAAGCAGTCGTGGGTCGAGTCCAAAGTCCTCAAAATGCCTTGCAGGCTTTTTTGACTCCGTCGTTTCTGCTGATGTAGGGACATCATTCTCGTCTAGCTTGCGCTTCATGATTAAGAAATTAACCGTTGGATCACAGACAGGACTGGTTTGTATATCTTTCCATCTAAATTTAAAGACAAGCAATAGCGGACTTTTTTTCTTTTCGAATCGAAGATAAATTCTAATTACATAAGCTCATTTACGCTTCATCGGTAAATCTTTATTCCGATAAACTTTAAATTTTCCGAAACCTTAACAAAACCTCATCTTTCTTTTTCTTCGAGACGTCAACAATTATTCATTTTCATTCTTGCGTGGACTAGAGAAGATAATATCACCACAGCATCCATGGAACGAGACACATAAAAGCCTCATCATTGTCTCCGTTGTCTCCTTCTCTATCCTTGATCTTTTCCCTTTCTACTTTAGCCTCCACTTTGAGTTGTTGTGCTTCGGGGATATGCCCTATTTTCTCTTCAATCCTTGCTAGAAACCATAAAGACCGCGCAAGATGTGGTTGCATATCGCCGCCCTCCCCGCTCATATCGACTATTTCGCGGAGAAGCGTCGCGGCCTGCGCATCGTCACCCTCAATCTCCGACATCGCAGCAATGATGAAGGCCGAATCAGCTACCCGTGGTCCTTGGCATCCATAAAGCTCTCGATGAATGTTCATAGCTGTCAATGCTAGCTTCCGAGCTTCCCCTGTCCGGCCTTGGGCAAAATTAATTCTCGATAGCAGCATGATATCTCCACTATGCTTCGGGTACTTGAATTGGATCACTAGCTCCTCTGTCAGGTTCTGTAATTTCCAGCAGTGATGTAAGGCACTAAGAGATCCATCCGGCTGCTATGCTCGGAGATATGTTAACGCATATATTGCCTGACTTCTACTCATAGAAAATGGATTGAGCTCGGTGTGGATATCCACGGCCTTCTGGAGACATTTGAGAGCCTGATCAACCATACCCTGTTCGGCGTAACTGCAGGCAACCGAGTCATATACATCAGCTGCCTCCCGCAAACGGTTGCTGTAGAGCAGTTCTATTACTTTGAGAGTCTGTAAATACGCGGATAAAGCGGATTTCGGTCGTGCCATGTCCAAGCTGACGTGACCTAAGATTCGGTACGCTTGCGCACAAGTTACTGTGCAGTTGTCAGTCACAAACTAAAGGCCAAATTCCACGAGATATTCTGCCTCTGACGGTCGCTCTCTTTCCCAGAGATATCTAAGTGAGGTGAATATAGGTTATAGTCGTATATTGTAGGGCTCTACTTTGCAGCACAGAAGAGCAATCCTGCAAAAGTGTCTCGGCTCTTAATATCGATCATATGACTATTTGATAATTTCATAAGCCAGGTAACATGTGAAATAACCTGACTGCGAACCTTCCATGAAGCCCAACCGTGGCCTTGATGTTTTGAACTCTCGCTCTCCGTGTCTGCAAGACTGGAAAATAACACTTTAACCACATTGCCAAAGTAGACCGATTCTTGGCTTGGCGATAGTCGTGACAAAACGACTGACTGAACAAGGGGATGGACCGTCATTGCTCTGATCTGATATCTGCCTCACAAACCCTGCCTCGGCGAGTTCTACTACTGCTTCGGCACAACTACCGGTTCTTTAGCAGTAATTCAGGATCAAAATACGAAAGGAGAGCTTACTCAAATTCATCATCCAGGAAACCTAAACAAACATTGGTGATTCCAGCTTTCTTGATAGCGAGCACGGACCTGGGAATGGGATTACGGCCAAAAAATGAAAGGATATTCAACAAGCTTTTCGATTCGTCCGTCAAATTCAGAAATGATTTTTCCCACGCCGTATCCACGGTATACTTATATTGTCCTGGTGGCCTGGCTCTGTTAAATATCTTCTGGGCTGATCTGCCGTAGATTGGCAGGAGTTGCTCGTAGGTATAATTGTGGCGATCCATGTGTTGACCAATTTGCACTAATGCAAGGGGTAGGCCACCAATGCCTTGGAGGAGTGTCTTTGCAGCTACGACATCTGCCTCACTTTCAAGGTGCTTACCGATCAATGAGAACATTATATGCAACTGTCCATGGACATCAAAACATTGAAGATATATCACTTCCGTTGTCCACTTCGAGGTAATGGAAGCTGATCGAGAATTAATGATAATGGACCCTTGAGGACTAGATGGCCAAAGTTCTTCGATGAGTTCACTGTTGTTAACATCATCTAGCACAAGGAGAAACTTCTTCCTTGTTGCACTTAGCCAGTTCTTTACCCTCTGGCTGAGCGTATCCAGATGTTCCTCACCTTCTGCCGTTTGCAACCCTGAAATTGTCTCAAAACTCTCTAGGCCCCCGACGAAGTCTCTCTCTGATGATGCTGATACCCATATGACAGCGTCATACAGGCTTTTGGTATGATAGACATACTCCAAAGCAAGCTGTGTTTTTCCTATACCACCCATACCGCAAATAGCGATGGTTTTCAAGTAGCCCTTGGTAACGCCAGGGTCAAGGCCAATTTCTAAAGTTTTCAATTCTATTGATCGGCCAGCAAATTGGGTGTTCCGGTGGTATGGCACCATGTGACATGGGAAATTCATGATGCTCTCTACTGCCTGGGTCACTTGAACACAGTCAATCTTCCTAGCAGCAACAGGTATTCCAGTTCCTCCGGGGGCTCGAGTTCTATTGATATCCTTATCGACAAGCCTCGAAGAAGCTCGAATGTCCGATATTTTGTGCGAACACTCCCTATTAAACACCGCCCATGCCCAGGTTCTATCGATCCTTGGGTTATTATGGCAGTATACTATCAAATTCGCAAGTATCAAAGCTGCCTTGGAGTATATGTCAATAACAGCGTCTTCCAGGTCAGATGTCACTAAAATATCATGTCCATGCTACTCCGCAATTAGCTCCTGTCCCAAAGCTTCAAGCTTATCTAGAAGTAGGGCAGGGAATGGCCTGGCAAACTAGGTGACTTAGCATGGGCCTTTCAACTTTTACTATTGGGTCTGAAAATGTTGCCTTACCTTGCAAATTGACCTGAAGGAAGCCCATATCACAGCTGTGACCACGTTATCCCCCCCAATTTACGTATTTATAGCAGCGACAAGGCCATCGAAACTGTCAAGTATCAGCTTGAATCTTTCAAAGGAACCCAGCCAACTCTCTGAGAACTGCAAATCCAGATAGGGTAAATCAATTATCTCATTAATGAGATCACCCAAGCTACGAATTCTCTGAATGTCGCGGTGGATTTCCCGGCAATTCACCCCGCCAATCCTCAAATTATCGTAATAGCCGCAAATAGGGGCCACCCATCTAGGATCAAGACCGTCACAGTCCCGTATGATATCGTGAGCACCCTGGGAAGCCATGGCTTTATGTTTACTTACCGCAGACACCCTTCTATAGTTGATAAAAACTTCAATGAATAATTTCCAGTGTACAGTGTACAGGGATCGATTATAAAAATAGGAATGCCCGTGAATCTGCCGAATACTAAGATCTTCTGCATACTTATCCGCACCCCGCATTCCAAACTGCATGACAAGCCTCTTCAATCTATTGTGCCACTGCTTCTTGCAAGTCGCCAATACAATGTCCCGTCTGTGGCAACGCTACCGATAGCAGTGGTGGGGAAGAAAATACCACCACCACGTCCAACCCCTGAATAATGAGGACATCTCTTGTCGTTACTACTCTGATGCGAGACATATTGCCACCTCGACATTCGGCATAATGGGTTCCAATATCACCAGTTGCTCATGTATGGTGATGTATCTTATATATGCCGTTGTTCCTCTCAGTGAACTCCTTCGTTGACATGGAGCTGCCTCGCCCGGCTGGGGATCCTTTTTTCTGTTTGTTACCAAAGGCGATAACAACTGTTTCCTTGGATATATTTCGCAGTACAGCCATATCATGCAAGCATATCCCATCGACATTATGTAAATGGATATGGTGAAGAGAGGGGTGTAGTGGCCCTCATTTATTTCAGATGATAACTTATTAGATGAATCTCCATAGCTAACCTCTAATCGAATAAACTGATAGTTTATATTGAAAACGCTTCCTTTTCTATGAGTTGCCGAGGGGGTGGGCGTTAGTTAGTTAACCAAACATCCAACAGGGATTGATGTCTACAAGATGGTAACGTCTAAAACGACATCGTGTTCTTATTTTTGCGTACTTCTTTAACTCCTCCCTGCCATGCTCCCAAAAGTACAGCGGATAAGCCTGTTCATTGCTTTAGTTGCTCTCTGCGCTATCACCCTATTATTTACCCATTTGGCCTCTTCGCCCGTATCCCATCTAGCTGCCAGCATGTCAGTCACACACGTCGTCCTTTTCCGGTTCAAGAAGGATGTCTCACCAGAGGCCGTTCGCGATGTTAGTGTAAACCTGGATGACTGTTCAATGGAAGGGTGCTAACTTACATTGTAGCTTTCCACTCGTATGCTAGGCTTAAAGGATAAATGTCTTCATCCGCTTACCCAAAAGCCCTATATCCTTTCGTCTTCTGGCGGGGTTGATATGTCGATCGAAGGTATCCAGGTAAGATGTAACTATACAAGTCAGCTTCTACTATGCCTGTTTTCTAACTTTCTACATGAAGAATGGCATGACACACGCCTTTGTCGTCAATTTTGCAAGCAAGGAGGATCGAGATTATTATATCCAGAAGGACCCTATGCATCAGGACTTTGTAAAGAGTGCCGGTGAAGTTCTCGAGAAAGCACAGGCCGTGGACTTTATCAATGGAGAATTGTAAAGTGCAGCATTTAACAAGGCCATGCACCAAAAAAAATTACAGAGCAGTTCAATGATATTTGAAAGCCATGCATTACTTCCTCGGAAAATATAACTAGTTAACCGACGGCAGATAATATAGTAGAGATTCCATAATTTGGTAGCTAAGCTAAATTCAATTTGGTTATATATAAGACGTATATATGGGCGGTAACATCATTGAGATTGAATGCTGTCAGTGGTAGGTTTATGTGTGAAAAGCTTGGAATATTTGACGCAGGACACGCAGAAAATGAATGAAATTCAATGTAATGTCAGCCACTGTACCTGTGCTGTTGAAGGACGTTATGTTATTTTAGACAATATTTGAATATAGAGAAAAGTAGAAGAGACTTAAGTTTGGGTTTTTGTCTGATATTTGCAATAGATGAAAAGAATCCAACCACATCAAGGGAGAATGGGTTGAAATCTGCTGGTCAATAAAATCCAACATGTTGAATTGTTGAATGGAACAGCTTAGAACGTTGTTGTCCGTATAGAAGGGTAACAGAAATGAAAGGGGCCAACGTATATTTAAGAGAGAAATAATCAGCGTGCCTGACGTATAATATCGTCATCAGTGAGAGAGTGAATGGCCTCAGCGGTAGAGTTGGCCATGTTATCGCCCGAATGTTCAAGATTAGTTACCGTAATCTTCGTTATCAAGACATTGTCTCCAAGCTCGGTGGAAAAGTCTTAGAGATTCCTGGCTGACATGTCCGATAGGCTTGACCTTAATGTTATGATCCACGGTGAAAACCTTTCCGAAGTTAAGGCAAGACGATTCCTGGAGTTTATCTTCTGGGGTAAAGGGGTTTATCATGATAGGGGGTATTCCAGCTTCTCGTCCTGGGGCGTAATAAGCAGGCTCACTTCCCCTCATGTATACTACTGAGTGAGTGTTCAGGTCAATACCCGGCTTCAACAGTCCTCTTCCTCCATAAGTATAAATAGCCCTTTTAAATAGCATTAGCTCGTCATTTAGATACTTCGTTAGGAGTAGCCGACGATAACTACTTACAGACACCACGAACAGCCTTGCTGGTTATTGACAACAACCATTCTACGAATGTTTGCATGAACCTCTTGACCATATCCAGCTGAATAGAAGTAAGGACTGCCGTGACTATGCGGTACAGAGGTATCACCGGCAGGCTCTGCCCAGTATACCGAAATAACCTATATATGACAATTTAAAACTTAGCACACTCTAGGTTTATTGACAGTCTAGAGTTAGTCCCATACCCTACCGATGGAGTAGAATTGTGTTGGCTGGACCTTATAATCTTTGGCTGTTCAGCTTTTATGAACATATATCGTTGATGTGACGTCTACTTACCCCTATTGAACCTTATAACATCTTGGTGGGTGCTGTTCCAGGGCCCTGATGTACCACTCTAAAGTTAGATACGGCACTACCATGCAGCCACGGAATTAGCATACCGCTGTAAGCCCTCTGGAGGCCATATGGGCTGTATCCGTCCGATTGATAACTAAGGTGCGAAGGAGCTGGGGCAGTATTGCCGGTCACCGGGTGAAGTGATCAGCTCAAAGTGAGCTTTTGGTTCAACAAGGAGATATTTATAGTATTTCAACATAATTGGAAAATATTGTACGATAAAAGAAACGAGTAACCTACCTCGAGATCAGTTCATAGTTGTTGCCTTGATAGGTAGGGTTTGAGAATCTCCTATTTGTGTCACTGGGGCTTTGCCATGTCCCGTGGTCATATTGTGACGGAGTTGGTGATGGGTATGAAAGACTCGTCTGCGTTGAGTGAGCCCATGCGGTTGGTCGCTGCCTCTGGCTTGAATTTTGGTAGATAGGAAACCCTGAAGAGTCCCCATGATACCCGCTGTCTATGCTGAGGCGGACAGTACTCGGATTTTCCGATATATCCCTATATTTTTAGTTGAGCCAATCAGTAATTCTGAGAACAAAAGACCGTATACCACCTGGACGATATTCATCTATTCAGCAATAGTATCAACAGTGACACTTTTGATAACAAGAGACATAGATGCATAATTATCTCGTTGGCGGAGCAGATACGTACTCCTCGTAGTTAGAAGGGGAGTTGACCAAGCCGTCCTGTGACAGAGGCTCGGTTCCACGATAGGACTGTGCTACCCAGAAGGTCAGTGATGAATAGAACCCCTGATTAACTCAGCTCACAATAGTAAGGCTCTTGTCTGCTCGGATACTCAGCCGGAGGGCGCAACTGATTTGGGCGCTGCGGCATTGCATCCGCCTCAAGTGCCGATGACACCCAGGTCAGCGCGGCACAGGGTAGGTTAACTAGATACTAGATAGTAGGGAGAATAATATATCCAGCCTGGTAAGCGCGGATGATGCTTCAAGGCGTCGAATATTTGGGTGTGGGCTAGGCTTTTATATGCATGTCTATTAACATTAACTCTGCTGGTGCAGCTACTGGAGCTTCCAGTCCAGCAACCCCCCAGAGCCGCATCTGACAAAAGAGTGCGGGACAGCCCATAGGATGCATATATGCGTTTCAAACCGTCGCATGGCTGGCAAGTCGTGGCACGCTGAGGTGTGAGGATTAACGGAGGGACATGGATACAACGGATCTCCCGATATCTCCATCGTCATCTAGAGGCTGAAAAGGGCCTTGGCTGGCAGCATACGAGGACTCCTCTGTACGGGAGGACCAGGGGGGTATAGGATATCGTTCGCATGGAGGAGAAAACAACAGAAGCCCTCTTCGTCCGCCGTCCTGTCCGCCGGCTTGACCTCGCAACAACGCTCAGGTGATTCGATCTCTTACAGCACCGGATCCTTGCTGACGCCGGGATGGCAGACATCTTCCATGCACGAAGCTTGCACGTTCAACAGTCTTTCTTCTGGCTGCTTCCCCGTATTGGCTGGGCTGGGGTTGACGCCGATATCAACATGGGTATTTTATCACTCTGATGTATCGTGGCTGTCTTTACGATACCGTCTGCCTTCTGATACACACGCATACGAGAGAGACCTGGTAATTTTTGCGAGAGGACGAAAAGCCATTGATTAACGGATGGCTGCGTATTCTGTCCTTCATTCATTCCGGGGGGGTTCCTACTGTTCTGCAATGTGGCCAGTATCCGCGCTGATTCTGAGGCCGTCGTTTGATGCGATCAACCTTCCATGTCGAAGAAGAGCAACAGTCACTCTGAAAGATCGTTGAAGCTGAGATCGAGTATGGTGCAACGGGGCTCCAGCAGCCATGGCATCAAAGCAGTCTTCTGTCCTTACGACACATATTGGCGAAGAGCTTGAAAAGGTGAGCATTCTTCCGGTGGTGGAGAAAAAGACCAACAACGTGTTTCTGGTTGAGTTGACGGCGGCCGTTGAAGGAGGTAGATCAGCTCATCAGCGAGTTCGTCCCCAGCTTCGATTCTTACTATGACTTCACCTCCCTGTCCAGTTTAAACACCAAGGACACAGATGTTGGCGACCTGCCGGACATGCTATATGAGCGAGGTAGCTCAGGCAGCGAGCATAGTATGCCGGCGATCCAGACGCTCTCCTTGAGCTCGCCCCCGACTACCGTGTCTTTTCCGGAAATGAAAGCGAAGCTCACGCCGGGCACGTCGCAAGCTCCAGATCAATCGTTGATAGCCAGCTCAGACTGGGAGATACTGAAATCAAGGCTTCAACAGCTAGTCAGAGACCATGGCAAGGTTGCTGAACATCGTTTCGCTACCAGGCAAAAGCGCGCAAAACTTCGGCAGAAGAGGACTACATCAACAGATCTGGGAATCAATCTAATGAGAGAATTGAATGTTCACTTCGCAAGAGAAGGTGTTTCCTCGCCACTCCTGGCCTTGTTTGAGGAGTATAAGAGTTCATGGGATGAATACCTGGCCATGGAACGCGAATATAACGACGACGAAGACGGGCTTGATGACAGAGAATTCCAACTCGAGGGCACACAGGAGAAGATAAAGACTGCTGTTGAGCAGTATGGTACGGATAGGGGGGCCATTACCAAGCTCAGCCATAAGGACGAGCAAGTTGATTTTGGACCAAATATAACATACGAAGGCGGAGTGTATCATCCATTGATGGCTGAATACCTTTCTCGCCGCGGCACACTGGACCTCGTCAATGAAAGATTATGGGAACTTCGGCTAGAGCACAAAGAGGCATTCAATGACTACCAGATGGGAAGGGGGCTGACCGCCGAGCCGAACGAGTATGTTATTGACTTACTCACCAATTTCCGGAGGTACGAAGACGAAATCCTTCAGGAGAAAGAGGCCTTAGAACGGGAGACCGAACAGCTCAAGGCCCAGTGTGACCAACTGGGACTCTGTGAAAAACCATCTCCTTTTACACCAGCGGATGATTATACCGCAAACACTCTATCAGATCAACTGCAGTCCCTGCCAGCACATAAGCACTTACTCTGGGAAAAGGATACCCCCCAATTTTTCGAGTCCGCTCTGGCCCAGGAACCCCTTGACACTGGGGAGTTTATTAACAAATGGATTTTCCACCAGCTCTGTCAATCTTCTATTGAAGTACTCCATCTGAAGGAAAGTTTCATATCGGAAAATATGAAGATTGATAGTGAAGAAGAGCTGCTCGATCTCGCATTAAGATATTGGAAAGTTGACGCAGCTAACAAACCAGTCCGCCGGCCCATGTCAGAAATCTATTATGATACCTTCAATGCCAATGTGATGCCTATCAACGTGAAGGCTAACAATATTCAAGTAGAAGTTCCCCAGGTCCCCGATCCAAGTCCCATACGCAGCTTTGGGGCTGAATCTATCCACGAAAGCCAGAAAAAGGCTCCCAGGATTGACGATACCCCTACAAATAAGCACTTGAATACTCGTCCTGGTCTATATTCTAGCAAAACGGAGTGTCATACGCATTTCGACAATAAGCCCCTACTTAACTTCGGCCGAGGCCAAGCTTCTTCAGCAATTTTTCATTACGATCTGCCTCAGTACCGCACTGAGCAAAGGAGCGGGAGCGGCTGATCCCTGTCCTACCGTGACATCATCCTATTGGATTCTTGTTCTCTCTTTTCCCTTTTCTCACTCTCGCCCCCTTTTCTTTTTCTTTTCCTATTTTTCTTTTCTTTTTTTTTTTTATTACGGGAGGAAGCTGCACTTTTTTCTCATGCGCATCGAGCAGCTACATCAGGACACCACTAACAAGGCATGCACACCATTGCATTGTTTGTCATTCGATATCATAGACACTGTTTCATATACCCTTTTGGTTATTCCATTTGTCGCTAATATATCTCTTCTCATTATTATTACGATTATTATTGGCATTTTTGGCGATATTATTATTCCTTTCAGTCCTAGGTCTTCAACTAAATTCTACAATCTTTTTTTTCTGCCTGGGGCACCAGACACGAGAGGCCTTTCTACCTATTTTCTATGTAGCCTCGTGGAGAGTTCGAATGTCCCGGCAAACGGCCTATCCTTACGGGGTATCAGCCTCCACCATTGCCTTTCGGCGCCTAACATGTAGCGACGGACCACGTAGTGGTGCTTCAAGATAAATAGTTCATTCGCTTTGGAGGGTACACGTCACGCCATATGTTATCATAAGTGGCTTGAATGAAACTGTAGCAAGATGGTCTGTTGCGTCCTGGCCTCGCCATGCAATGCATCCTACCGAGCATTACCTTGGATGCTGCAAGGCGATTGCTCAGATGACAAGATCCAAGAAAACGGCACAGTAAATCTTACTTGATACAGAAGAAACACGCCGTATTACCAGAACAGAACAGCGTATTCTACGTACCGGGACCGAAACATAGAAATAAGTATATCACTGGGATTCCATTTGTAGGTGTCGAACTTCCTTGTTTTCCAATAGGTTCAAGCGGTTAGCAGATATATATATATTGAGTGTACGTAAATGAAACTATCATTGTAGCAGGGTAACCTTACCCTACTCCAGTAAGAAGATCTGTGTCCGGAGTACCGTTCTCCCTTGTATCTGTTGGGTTGGCCTATATAGTAGTGTGTTCAACGCTTCTGTAGTAAAAGTGCCTTGTGACCCACTCCGGTTCCGAAGTATACGTGCAGTGACATGCATCGGTTTGACCAGGCTGATTATAGCAGACTCAGTAGCCGCCCTGGCGTATCACTGCAATATAGAAGGCTCCTCGCGGAGCGTTAGAGAGAACTTAGGAGATTCGACCCGAGCTTCTCCCAGAGTGTTTTCCAGCCTCGTAGGTTAGCTAGCGAGGAAAATAAAGCCGGTAGCCTTGAGCCTGAGCCTCTGCCGGAATGAGAACACATTTCTTCTGAGTGCTGTATTCATCCATGAATTATAGCTGTGCCTCAGGCATATATATCTATGAAAACATTCGAATGTCCGTCTCGTTGATTTAAGCTCACGGTCCACAATAAGCTTAAGCGGAAGCGGTGGGGCGATTTCATAGCGTTCCCGCCTGCTGGGCACAGGAAGGTAAAAGGACGGGTGGCATTATTGGAAACAGGTAGATTTAGCTAACTACTACATAATGAGGACATGGATTCGTTCACTTGGCCCGTACATCGCACCCAAAAAAAAGAAAGGCATATATAACATTAAACCACAAAATTGGCACCAACTCCCTTTCCACAAGACATGGCAGTTATAAAAGACGCAATGCAAAACATATCAAACCGTTACGCGTACTAACTAACACACGGACGATGACTCTCGCTACTCTCCATCGCTGTCACTCAAGCTATCTCGGCGTCTACCTCGGCCAGTCCGACGATATCCTTTGCTGAGGGCGGGGAGTGGCTGATGATAACTCATGTTGCTGGTGCCGTTGTCAGACCCGTCAAGATGCTGGTAGGAGTACTCAGACATATCAAGTGGCTCAGTATAGCCACCGGGCATTGAGGTGCGCTTGCGAGAGGTGGACTGACGGTTGTTGCTGGTACTCGTTCTAGGTCCACGGGGACGTTGAGAGTGCCGGGCATGGCGGGAGCGACGTTCAGTATCCGAAACCTCGGAGCGGCTAGCCTCAGAGCGACTAACATCAGAGCGACTCGCTTCCGTACGGCTTGCATCAGTACGACTACCAGCAGTACGATTACCAGCAGTCCGACTACCAGCAGTACGATTGTCGGTGTCCCGGCGACGTGGCGGTGGAGAAGGCTCTCGAAGAGGCCGTTGCTCCTCTGTTACATGGGAGACGGTATCTTCACCTGCAACGAAAGAAAAGCCAGACACGTTCCGACCCCTGGAAATATCCATCTCTTCGTATTGATTGGTATAACCAGCCTGGCTCTGTGTCCACTCGCTCTTTTCATCATAGGTATAGGTATATCCAGCTGCGCTGCCTGCATTGTGTGTGTTGGTGTGTGTGTTGGTAGGGGTAAAGTCAGATCCATGGTATGTTCCATCAGCTTCACGGTTCATGCCACCAACTTGCGCAGGTTTTTCGTGGCGGTACGCCCGCATATCTTCGTCGTGGCCACCTTCCCAGTCGGACTCCTTCTGTCGACGCATCAGTTTCTTCTTCATGGCAATGAAACCTCTTCTCGTTCTACCCGTTTTACCCGTTGCAACGGTTTCCGTTTCCATGGCAGTGGTAGCGTCATCATAATCCCGGTACTCTCTGGCAACAATACTTCCTCCACCAAGTGCGGTACTTTTCGTGGCGTTGGAAAGCGTTCGGCCATCAGGACCCTTTCGTCGTAATACTGTTGATTTATAATCATCCCAGTCGTTTTCTCGCCAGATGAACCCTCCATTCTTCGCCCAGAAAAAGAACCAGATTGCTGCAATAACAAGTGCTGCACCAAGGAGGGCAAAAAGTGCCAGCATGCCTTGCATGTTGATGCTATGCGGGTCGATCGCTCCTTCGCCATAGACTGGTAGAGACGTGGTAGGTTCCTTATCTCTGACAGCGAGAATCTTCGTGTCTTGCGTATTTGTTTCGAGCGACTTCGTCGGGATGTTTCTGGGCTCAAGGAAGTTCTTGATATTTGATGGCGTTGTCCGTTTTATCGACTCCAGGAATCCGGTGACAACTGAAGAGGATCCCGGGGTTAAGACCCCTTCACCTGAAGGGGGAACAACAGGAGCTGGAGCCATGATAACCTGACTCTGATCCAGGCAGTCTCGGTGAATAGGCGAGGAATGCGTCTGGCCCCAAGATGGGGACTTTGCTTGCCTCGAGGCAGGACAACTCTGATGCTGCCAAATATAGTTCGAGCAAAAATGGTTAATTCTAGTGAGATGTGAATAACAAGGAACGAAGAGCAATAGAGAAACAAGTGACAGTTACCAAGTGATATGGTTGTTGAGAAAGAGAGACTGGAAGTGGGCGACCAAGAGATGTCGCGGTGGCGGGTAAAGCAGGAAAATGATGAGGCTGGGAAGTCTTTTGTTTACTTCCCTGTCGTCGTCGGAGCAACTGTTGCTTATGTCAGCTAAAATGTATCACGTGCAATTACCTGCCAAGACATTCTGCGGGAGCTAAACCTTAATTTATTTAAGGCCACAAAAGGCAAAAAGAGACAACAAAGCAAAAGCGAAAGGATGGCGGTGATGCTGTTATTTGCATACAGACATATTAGCCACGGTGGCTATAGGATGACGGACTGCTGTCCAACCAGGTAGGCAAATTAGCGTCGTCCACGTGTTTTGAAAGTGTAATACATGAACTATGTGCGAGAGGACATATTTGGGTCAAGCTATCACGGAAGGTGAAAGAAAAACGTATGTGAAAAAATAAGAATGGCAGCCTTTGTGTGTAAGTGTGGAAGCCCGGCTCCTTCGCTAGGGTAAAAAAGATAAAACCTTAGCCAAAACTGATAACGCGGAGGCAATACAAGCTGGCTGGAATTATGGTGAGCACTCTGTGTGACGACCTGGGGTCGCTAACGTGTCGAGGCGGTCGGTACCGGAGAGAAAAAGAAGACAAAACGCTGGCTGGAATAGTCAAATTGTACATTTTACAGGTCGATTCTGGTATGAACGGATGATAAACGTGAGGCTTTCGCATCGGGCCGCGAGGAAGAAACACGAGGGTCCTGAGCGAGAAGGCGGAACGTACCCCATGAACCGGATATCAACAAATTAAGTAGCGTGGTAGAAATATTGAAGGATGAAGCACGGAATCACTGAACGGTAAGAGAAAAAAAAAATAGAAGTTGGGTATGAAAAATTGAGAGTAATTATCGGTATAGAAGGAATAGATCAAAAAATAATAATAATAATAAATAGATAAATAAAAGTACCAATCATGCAATGCGCACTTGAATTGCACGCAGGAAAGATAAGGTGGACAAATGGTAGGTACAGAACAAATCCAAGGTTAGGTGTAAATGCAGAACTTGGGGACGGGCCATTGGGATCGTGGGGGTAAGTAAGGGAATGAGATTGTGGGTAAATGCCTCAGGAATAATATTATCATAACCACATCAGATCGTCGACAATCGTACAAATCATAAGTAGGAGCGCGTGTATAGCATAAATGAACAAAGGTAGTAGGCGTAGCAGACGAAATAAATAGGTAATTGAAGGCGTATGCAAAGGGCTAAGGCAAAAACACGGATGGCGAAAAAACAGGTGAGGTATCTTGAACACAATGCATGCAAGAAATCAGGTCATTGATCAAAGGTGTAAAAAAGGTAAAAAAGAGCATCAGCGATAAGGCTAGGGCAAACAAAACGCGGGAAACTTGGAAGGAAGCAAAATCAGTGATATAGAGGAAAAGGTGTAGATGACGAAAAGGGAGAAGCAAAAGACAGCTGACCCCTTCCAAAAAAAAAAAAAAAAAAAAAAAAAGGAAAGAAAAGAAACCAAAGCTAACTCTTTTTTATAGAACTTTTGTTGTATCCCGTCGACTTTTTTCTCTTTCCCTATCCAAGCATTCTTTTGTTTCTGGAAGAAATAACTGAAAAAAGTATATCAAACGGCCTCCCAAAAGTAAATAGATAGGTTGATTGAACGAAGTCATGCGGACGGGATAGGTATCTCCCGAAATAAATCGAATATATAATTGTTTTGCTCATTTTGGTATTTTTGGGGTGTTCTCGCACTTATCCATGGAAGCAAAAAGGGTATTTCAAAATAGTTTACTCTAGTAGGCCTCGTCCACTATATCCTGATCGGCTGGATCGTCGGCTGTCACGTTCGGCGCGGTGTTCTTCACGTAGGCGCCTGATGTCGTCGGCTTCTCTGCGGCTGCTTGTGCTAGCAGTGTCTGAACGTGGTAAGAAATATCGATCCCGTTTTCGTCCGCCAATGTTCAATTCAACCCCTCCCTCCTCCCCTGAGCGGAAGTTAATGGTCTTCCCATCAATGGCATCACTAGATAGCCCAATTTTAACTCCTCGGATGATCATGGTGATGCTATCGTCGTCAACTCGGGAGCCAGTGGCACTGCCATTCTTGGTGTTGACATCACTGGTATCGTCTTCTGAGTCACTGCTTTCAGATGATGAATCATCTTCAATTGCATCATCGTCGTCGTCGTCGCTCTCAGTTTCGCTGTGTGGGATTGGAGGTGGCCGACGAGAAGCAGCCTTGCGGAGCATCTCAGTTGTGAGTGGTACTGGAGCTGGTGGCGCTTGAGGAGCTGGGGGAGCCGGAGGTGCGGGCGGTGCTGGTGGATGTTGCTGTCTAAGCTGCTGTCGAGGCTGTTGTCGATGGACGCGAGACATAGGGTAAACTTGCATGGGAGGCTCCTCCTCCTCCTCCTCCTCCTCCTCTTCCTCTTCCTCTTCTTCCTCTTCCTCCTCACTTTCAGTGTCGGTGTCAGTTTCGCTTGGGCTTTCGATCTCTGGCTCTGGTTCTGGTTCAGGCTCCGGTTCAGGCTGGCGTTGGTGAATCGTCCGGGCCTTGGAGACACGACGTGAAGCTTTTCGGACCATTTCAGTAGTAAGCTGCGGCGCCTTTGGTGCCCGAGCGGCTTGGTATGCCTCCACTTCGCGTTGCTTCTGTTCTAAAAGATTCTCCTGTTCAATTCCGTATGTTGATACACGGCGTGGGCGGCGAGGAGCCTCTACAGTAACTCTGGCAGGCCTAGCAGCATCGTAGTATGTAGCAGTCCTCCGCGGCCTGGTGCTTGCAATCACCTGAGTCGTGCCTCTTTCTGGAGAGGGCTCACGAGCAGTACTGCGGCTCGTCCGTCGCTGAGATTGAGGGGGCTGGTGATGGTACTGGTTAGCCCTTGGTGCTGGGAGTGCTTCGCGCATGCTAGACATATCGAATGATGGGGGACGATGAACCACAGTGGTGGCTGCTGGCGTGGTAACAGCCTTCTTCGGAGTTGGTCGCTTAGTGATGGGAATGACTTGAACAGGAGGCTGTGGTTGCGCTGGCTTGGCTGCTGGAAGGCGAGGAGGTGGCATGCGGTAGTAATCTTCATCGTGATATGAGCGTGACTGCCGGCGAGCACGTTGTTCCCTAGACGGTCGGCGTTCCAACTTGCGATCCAAGTTTGGCATATGACTCGGTGTAGGAGGAGTGTTTTCCACAACTGGAGGGCCATAGACCGAGCCTCGTCTTGGTCGTTCAGATGAAGGTCGAGACATCGATGCCGTGCGGGGACGCTCGTAATGCATCATCACCTGGGACGAGTTTTCGTAAGACGAGCCCATAATTGGGGAAGGCTGAGTGTAGGATGAATCGAAAGGCGAGCCCATGTAAGCGTTCGTATAGGCTGAGGCAGAGAGTGGTGGACCAGCATGGCTATTACCATACGGAGCTGACGGACCGCCTGCCATGTACATCATGTTCATATCAGGTACAATGCCAGGATGGAAGCTGACAGGGCGACTCTGCTGGTGGTAAGAAGACGAATTTGATCGACGAGAGTGTGTAATGGCTGGAGTGATGGACATGCCAATATCCATTGGTTGGTAGCGAGGAGTTTGAGGCGATGGTGGTACGTCGTACCCAGGGATTTGATTGAAGTACGACGAGGCGTCCATCATGCTCGGTATCATGCCCTGAGTGTGGTATCCAAAGCGATCGCATTCGGCACACACTCCGGGTGGATGCCTTCCTGCGGACATCGACTCTCGACGCCGGGTTTTGGGTGTATGTGTAAGAGCGGTCGGTCGATTCGAGCCTCGTGATGAAGGTGGCTTCATTCCCTCGTTCTTCATTCCGTCCAAGTCTTTCTGCTCTCTCTCCTTTGCCTTGCGGCTATGTTGCTTTTCTCTATCCACTCCATCGCCCCGCGATCTCACACGAGGTATATCTCGTCCAGCCATGGCGTTGTTCATAGAAACAGCGTACGAGCTGCTGGCACCGCTGGCACCGCTGGCAAGCGATTCTCCGCTACTCCCAATTGTCGCCGCAGTACGGCTTGAATAGCCAGAATCGCTGGCTCCGTCTGCGCTGATTATCACTGGGTGAAGGTCCGGCTTTGACCTTTTGGCCGAAATGTTTGCAACCCGTCTTGTCTCGGGAATTGCTACATTCGCATCTTCATCAAATTCTTCGCAGAAGGCGGCGTACGATTGCTGTGAGCTGACGAAAGACATGACGCGATTCAGAACGCGCAGGAAAGAATGGGTCAATATTTAGGTTCGGAAGAGAGCCGTGGTTTCGACAACTTCTGACCCAATCAAATTTGCGGAGCCTGATTGTTTGTTGATATAGTGATAAACTTCGGTCGTTGCTGGATGATGTTGTCGTTGTTCTGTTGATGTTTTGGTCGATGGAGTTGATGTCTTCGATGGCTAAGGGGGGTTCGTGTTATTTTTCTTGCACTCGATGTCCGCACCCCCTTTTTTACCACTCTGCGGTAGTAATGTTGCTCCCAGTGTCAAAGAGTGTTGTCTGGAAGCAGATATCTGCGTTTCACCTGTATACAGTTGCTCTGAGCTCCAATTCAAGTATAGATTCCAGTGAACAAAGCATGTGGTCCATCGAAGAGTGTAAGAGTTGAATGTAGAAGACGAGAACGAAGTGGCTGTCTGTAGCGTGTAGGGGATCCGAGAACTATTATCTTAGTTGTCTTGACCAGCGCGGAAAGGGGTTAATGTTCCGGTTATATATTGATAAGGGGTTGGTTCAACGGAGTAAAAAGTAAATAAATAATAAAAGGCAAAAAAAAAAAAAAAAAAGTTATATATCCAGGCAGTTATATGCGACTGAAGTTTATAATTTTTGTGGCCCTTCTAGAAAACCGCAGGGGACAGAACTGGGATAGTAGTCCCGGAAACCAATGTCACGGAGAGTAAAAAAGGGCTGGGCTTGCTGCTCAGTAATCTGGTAACTAGGCTTCTGTCTGGTCTGTACTCCGTGACTTTGGTGGCTATAGCCGTGAGTCGCAGTGTTGCGGATGGCGGGGTTGTTGGGTGCTGAGCTGATGAAGGGTCTGAAACCGGGGCTGTTTCTGAGCTGGGGATGTCGACGATCGAATAGATGCTCTCCTGGCGGGAGGAAGATGCAGGGAAACAGTCAAGAAAGGCGAGATTAGAGGGACTAAAAGAGGCCGGAAAGGCTGCTGGATGGAGTGGTGGAGGGCGCAAGTCTGGTACGGTTGACCGGCTCAGCTGAGTAGACAGAGAGACAATGACGGCGAGGAAAACTGGGATACGAGACACGGAAGGTTTCCTTTTGAGCAGAACGGAGTGTCAAGAGTTGGACTGACGGTTGCACACGCCGTGGGAGGCTTTCGTCTGTCGTCGTCTTCGTCCTTTTTTTTTTTGCTGCTCGCCTGCTGCTGCTGGGAGGTTTTGCGGGCGAGCGAGCGATGTGACCCTCGGGACGACGATCAGCGTGTATATGGCCGAAGATAACGGAGCCAGACGGCAGAGCTGACTGCTAGCAATGATATCAGCAGCAAAGACAAACGAGCAAGGTGAAATCCTCGTGGTTTGAGAGCGTCGGTTTGTGTGTGAAGTTGGGTTGACGTTGAGTTGTCGGAGTTGAGGTTTTGGTTGTGTTTGTGGGAAGAAAAAGACGTCGAGGTTTTTTTTTTTTTTTGCCCTCTCTTTGAGCTGGATTTCTTTTCTTCTTCCTCACCCGCAGGCCAAACGAGTCATCCTGAGAGACTCTTGTCGACCGTCTGCTTTCTTTTTTCTTCGCCGGTGGAGTCGACGGCTGGTTTCTTTGCTGGATACAGTCTCGATTGCACGGCCGGCCTCATCACTGGCAGCGGTGGTGGGCTTCTA